AGAAACTGCCTTTAAATTGAGACTGTTGTAAAGAGTTTTACCCACAAAGGCTTGAAAAGCTTAGATAGCTCAAGACAACCCCATCCCTTGTAAACAAAATCCAGTTTATAATGGAACACACCCTGCAAAGACAGAACATTTAATATATCAAATGCAAAGAATAAAATGGTGTAGGACATGGCTTGCTCAGCACAAGGACAGCAGAAATTTATATTTAATTTTTCAAACGTATTTTAAATATGGATCCTATATTGCAAAGCACTTTAGCTTCTTAAGGCAGAAACTAAAAATGCATTATCACAAAAGCAAACCTATATCTCAGGATATTAATGAAACAAGATCATTAAAAATTATCTATCTGCTAATTCAAAGACTCATCAAACAAAATAAAAGAAATGAAGCATTTCCCATACTTGTAGGGAACTTCAAAAACAAAAGTTCTTTACCATTCTCGTGGAGAATAGGAGCTGCATTTCCCTCAGCAGCAAGTCTAAAAGACACTTCCAAGTGATCTCTAGTGCAGTGCCATAAGATTTGCTAGTGAACATCTAAGGCTACCGCTAGAAACATCATTCAGCATTTAAGTTTGGGATTCCCTATCATAAGTAGGCTTTTTCACCACCCAGCTTGTCTTTTCAGCAACCTAAACTTAAGATAAACATGTGATTTTAGATCCTTTCCTATGTAAAGCAAATGAAGTTTTTCAGTTGTTAAAAGGGAAAAAAAATTCCTTTTACCAACCTACTTTTTTTTGACCTTTCATCCAATCTACTTGGATAATACTGTAGTGCAGAAAGAAATTACATAGGAATCTGAATCTTACAACAGAAAACTGAGACTGAGTTTTAGAAACTACTTAAGTTACTTACAGAAATATTTATATATTATCATTGGTACTGTACATTTCTGGTTACTAGAGCATTTTTAAAATTTTGATCTAAATGTAGCATACAGGCTCTGTGAAGAAGCTGTAAAAGGACAAATACATGGGTTTTGCCCTATGAAAGAGCAATGTATCCATTTGTTACCTTTTAAGTATCTTCCGTTTCACATTTCATTCTCCACTAAAAATAACTAAAGATAACCTATACCACACAAAAGATCTGGTAATATTTATGTATCTGCTACCACCTGGTGACAAACAGCATTATTGACTTTATCCTAGTCAATCTTAAAGAAGCAACTCCTATTTCCCTATAAGAAAGTTTCCACTGCTGCTACAGTGGCTGACAGTAAAAGCTACATGAATTCTTTAATACAGTATGTTGTAGCCATAATAAGCCACTAATTTCCTATCCACCCAGCTTGTCCGCATCACAGATTCACCACTGACCAGCATATTCTGCTCATAAAGCAGCTACTATAGCCTTCATTCACTGAAGCCTTTCAGCTGTTGCAGATGGTTACTGTAGTCAATTACTGAGCAATTAAAATAAACTGATTCCTCGTTTACAAAAATCCAACACCATTTGATTTGTTACACTAGCCGTAAGACTTTCCAAATGACAAGTCAATTTCTTCTGGTCTTATTTCCCAATCTACAATGTGGAATCAAAACATCTTTTTTCCCCCAGTCTTAAAATTAAGAGCAGTATGGTAGTAAAAAAGACCACCTTTGCATCACACTACTTAATTTTACAATGCTTTAAGTAAAAGCCTCGATCAGCCTCCAGGTATTATTGTTGTTGAGAAAAAGACTACCAAAAACCTAAAGCAAAACAGAGAAATAAATCCTCAGTTTCAGGTATCTCACACTAAGTTGCAGAAGTGTGACAGTGAAAAGGGACTAGTTCACTGTGATGACCTGTATTTGGCTATATGGTAGACTAAATGAAAATAGTATTTGTAATATTTACTTATACATGCACTTCCAAACATTTTGGAAAAAAGCCAAAGTTTCACATTTGATAAGCCAAAGTGTCAGAAAAAATAATTTCACGAAAGCAGAATGTGGAGCTATATATGACAGTATGGTTTGTTTGACAAAGCTAATCCTATTAAGATTCATAAAGTCGCCTGGCTTAGTTGATAGGAATCTGAGTTTGAAATCTCTCTTTAAGTGATAGGTCTTTTAAGAGGGGTCGGTTCTTCCAGACCTACATGCATTTAGCAAAAGGAGTTATAAATAAGAGGTTTAATCTTTTAAATGTCTTATTCACATTCCATTGTACAGTTTTGGGTTTTTTTTATTTGGAAAAAAAATAGTATTTTTCACTTGACTTAAGTTCCTGTCTGGAGTGCTCAACTTGATTTTTTTGTCAGAAATTTCCAGCTGGGCTTAAAACTCCCTTTTTCCTGCACTTCCATCCCTAAAGCAGCTGAAGCCAGACACTGAGAGTTGCCGAGAGAAGACCAAAAAGCCAACTCCAATGCTGGGCCACCGATCCAAAGTGCCCTGAATGCCTTGACACCAGCCTGACTCCACTGAGCAGATCGTGACAAAAAATACTCTCCTACTAGCTTCCTAACTTCAGTATCAAATGCTAAAAACATAACTAGAGCTTCTTGCCCCTTTTCTGAAAAGGCAGGGTTATTTTTGAGGAATGCAATTTCAGTCACAGAAGCAGGAGAGATGGTTCTGACCTGGTGCCACCCTCAGGAGAGGCAGCCGCTGGGGTGTGGAGAACCACCTTTGCTCTCCCTCCCAAATACGGGTCCAGGCACCATCTTTTCCCCCTCTGAGAAGATGGGGGCGGCACTGGAAGCACCACCCGTGCGAGATAAGCGGCCACCTTCCCCTCCACTGCCCTAGAGGGAGAAACGACGCTCTCTCTGCGGCCCAACACCTTCACGCTACCGCCGCG